TTTCCAGATAGTAATTTTAGTGGTTCATTGTAATCAAATTTTAACTGAAATAGGACCCTAAAAAAGGTATTTTCTGATGTAAGAAAAAGTAAAGTGCATAGATATTTCTTTCCTCTATTTCTGTGTTTTTATCGTTGGCATTCTCTTCAAGTAAGGTCTTTCCTAGGTAAAATAGGGTAAGTGGCTTACACTAGCATTTGTAAGAAAATTTGTTAATTGTGCTGCTTCTGTTCTTACATGAAATAATGAATGAGTAAATGTTTTTGTTGACAGATTGAAGGACTATCCCCAGTATTGTCAGCACTTGGCTTCTATCAGTCACTTTATGCAATTTCCACATCATTTACAGGAGGTAAGTGTCTTTAATATCTAAAATCTATTAGTTGGAGAGTTTATTTTAATTTGATTTTGGAATTTCTGGGACTGGCATTAAGATTTCTTAATGATTGGCATGATACAGGGATATATACTATTTGTTGCTCATTTTGCAGCTTAATAGGTCATGAAAAATGTCATGCTTGGATTATCTTAGTGCTTTTGCTTCATATAATAAAAGTTTTTATCAGCTATTTTAGCTTTATAATGCTGTTGAAGAATATACATCTTGTGCTATTACTAAGAATTCCTGCATGGTGGGATGCCTGGGTGCCTCAATGGTTGAGCATTTGCCTTTGGCTCAGGGTATGATTCCGGGTCCAGGATCGAGTCCTGCATCGGGTTCCCTGCAAGGAGCCTACTTCTTACTCTGCCTGTGCCTCTGCCTCTCTCTGTCTCTCATGAATAAATAAATAAAATCTTTTAAAAAATATTAATATGAGCCACGAGTGTTGCTTATTCATGTGAGGGATTGGGAGAATCCCTATTGTAGTACGATGTAGGAAAGCAGAGTTTTGTAAGACTAACATGAGAAGTCAGAGGTTTACCACAGTAAAAGGTGTTTGGAATTCAGATCTGGGAATACAGACCTTGGAAAAGTGAAGACAAAGAGAAGTGGCATGGAAATGATCACACAAAATAGTGGTCTCCAGCAACCCCTCTTAACAAGATAATAGCTAGAGGGTGAGAGAGAGGTTATTTGTATTTCTATACTTAGTCAATTTATTTTTATTTATTTATTTTTAAAAATATTTATGTGTTCATGAGAGACACAGACAGAAAGAGGCAGAGATAATAGGCAGAGGGAGAAGCAGACTCCCTAGAAGAAGCCCAATGTGGGACATGATCCTGGGATCATACCCTGAGCCGAAGGCTGAACATTGAAAAATGTTTAACTTCAGAGCCACGCAGGTGTCCCTATACTTAGTCAATTTAAAGTGTTATACTTTATTCAGAAATTGCCTTTCCTATTTGAAAATGCCCTTTATTTTTTTTAAAGATTTATTTATTTCAAAAGTGGGGTTGGGGGGGAAGGGCAGAGGAGAGAGTCTTAAACAGAAGCCTTGCTGAGTGTGGAACCCAACACGGGGCTTGATTTCACAACCCTGAGATTGAGCCAAAATCAAAAGTTGGATGCTTAACCAACTATGCTACCCAGGTGCATCGAAAATGTCCTTTTTTGATTAAAGTTATATGTCTAGATAGTTTTTTGTTTTTTATTTAGAAAGGGAGGGGGAGGGGCAGACGGAGCAAGAAAATCTTAAGCAAGGCTCTTCACCCAGTGCAGAGCCAGATGCGCGCAGGGCTCGATATCACAGTCCTGAGATCATGACTTGAGCTGAAATCAAGAGTTGGACACTTAACCGACTGAGCCACCCAGCCACCTCTGGATAGTATTTTTTGTTTTGTTCAGGCATAGACTGCTGGAAATAGGATCGGGAACCATCTATCAGTTTTCTAATTTGTGTATGGAAAGGTGGTTGAGTGGTCTGAAATTGCAAGAAGTCTGCCCTCTTGCTTATTACTCTCTCATTGGCTGGGCTTTCTATAGTGTGTTCCTTTATTTTGTAGTTATAGCTTTATTGGGAGGTAACTCACAGTGTATTTTTTTAGGCCTTAGGTTTCTCATCAGCATCCAATAAAAGAGATCAATTCAGTATAGAAATTTAAAAATGTTAAAGTTTACATGTATTAAGGGATTTATGGAAGTATATATGAAGGTATCGGTGGTGGCTGTTTTGTAAGTTCTTCTCTAGAGTAGTTCCCTTGCAAATATTTTAAGACATACCAATATTTTATCTCCTAAAGAGTTCATGCTATCTACTTATGTATAATATATATATGAATATGGACCAGAATGAGGCAAGGAGTGAGGGATATAGATGAACCAGAGGAGTGGTCTGAGGATTTCTCCCCTCTGAGAAGTGAGGGGAATGTAATTCTGAATTTTCAGTTTTTGTTAAGTCTTTTAATGTCTTTCCCTCTCCCTGTCCCTAGTATATTGAGTATGGACAACAATCTAGAGATCCTCCTGTGAAAATGCAGGGCTCTATTACAACCCCTGGAAGTATTGCACTGGCTCAGGCCCAGGCTCAGGCCCAGGTTCCAGCAAAAGCTCCCCTTGCTGGTCAGGTTAGCACGATGGTAACCACCTCAACAACCACCACTGTTGCTAAAACGGTTACAGTCACCAGGCCAACCGGAGTCAGCTTTAAGAAAGATGTGCCAGTAAGTAGATCTTTTTTCTTTTTTCGGGTATTTTATGTTGTAATGTCTCCAGTAGTGAGCATTATTTTAATTTTAATATAAATATCACATGCCTACTAAATGTAAAGACCAGCATTTCTCCTTTATTATCTCCCCTCCCCAGATTTCCCAGAGGCAGGCACTATTAATAGTTCAATATATATTTTTGCCAACACTTTCCAGTGTACAGTTGTGTATATACCATGTGTATGTTTTTTTACTAAAAGAATCAGTATACATTTTCCCCTGGGATTTGTCAAGCAGGCATTTCAGTTTATGTTATGTACTTTATTTTTTTAGCCTTCTATTAATACTACAAATATAGACACGTTGCTTGTGGCCACAGATCAAACTGAGAGAATTGTAGAGCCCCCAGAAAATATCCAAGAGAAGATTGCTTTTATCTTCAATAATCTCTCACAGTCAAATATGACCCAAAAGGTGAGCACAATGTAATAGTTTATATACCATTATGAATGCTGTCTATTCTTACCCATAATGGGTTGGGGGGATTTATACTTGATGTTTTGCACCCTTTGTAATACTTTAAAGGTTGATAGAATCAAAACAAGGAGAATGTAGATATACAATTAGTGGCTATGGTTTTTGTAGACATTAAACAGCACTAGTTTTGCAGTTAGTTTTACAGGCTTTTGAAGTAATGGTCTCATCATGGTGGAAGGTTTCACTTCTGTCTCATCGCAACTCATGTCCTCCCAGAGACCATTCAGAGTTTTTATTAGGTGTCTAAGAACTGAGGTAGACTTTGTGCAAAGCATAAGAAATCCTTACCTTTCAAGATTATAAGGTATTGGAAATGTGTACTTTAGCAAGTAAGATTAGCCTGAACAAGTATTTTTTGAGATATTATCCATATGACATCTTTCAAAATCCCACCAGAATTGATTAGGGGGAAATAAGCTGTTATTGTCCTTTTGGAAGAGAAGTTTCCTGGAGATGGAAATTTAGGGGAAAAAAAGTTTTGGCATTAGGTCTGTTTATGATAGGTTGTACATTATAATTTATTCAATTTTTGTCAAATGGAGAGTTGAGTAAAATGGAGGTGAGGGACATCATGTTTTATAATTTTAAAGCTGAAAGCGGCCATAGATGTTTTAGTCCTTATCTCCCACAGTTGGTGAGATGACTGATTGTACTAACATGGAATTGAATATATATACTTAATGGCATATGTCTGATAGGGGGAGCAAATGAAGCATGGTGCTTTAGCACCAAATTTTGCAAGGAGCCACATGTTGTGGTATTGATCACAGGAAAAAACACAAGACTGTATTTTATCTTTTAATTGTCATATTGGTCGGCTAGGTTGAAGAACTAAAGGAAACTGTGAAGGAAGAATTTATGCCTTGGGTTTCACAATACCTGGTTATGAAGAGAGTCAGTATTGAGCCAAACTTCCACAGCCTCTATTCAAACTTCCTTGACACGCTGAAGAACCCTGAATTTAATAAGATGGTTCTGAACGAGACCTACAGAAACATCAAAGTAAAATTTAGTTCTTGTATTTCTTTTCGTTACTGTTCTGAATTTGGAAATACCTGATTGTACAAGCAGAATTTTGGGAGATAGGTTGGCTGTTTTTTTCCTATATGTTGTCTGTATTAGGTTATTTATGAAAGTTGCCCTAGGGTTTGTTTCAAATATGGAATTAAAATTCACAAAGAATTTATTTTTATTTATTTATTTTTTTAAAAGAATTTAGTTTTATAGACGCGTACTGTTCATTTTGAAAGTAGCTATTCTATTTTCATCATTCCATGCACAATTTAGAATCTTTATCTTCTATTGATGTCTTTAACTTTTTTCCCCTTCATATAAGTAATAGGCTCTTAGCTGTAGTCCCTCAGGTTCTTTTTAGTAGTCTTATAGAAATATTAATAACTTACAATAACTTTCACTGTTAAAAAGACAGTGTTGCAGTGAATCTTTTATGTCTTCTTTTTTTTTTTTTTTTTTTTAATTTTTTTTTTTTTATTTATTTATGATAGTCACAGAGAGAGAGAGAGGCAGAGACACAGGCAGAGGGAGAAGCAGGCTCCATGCACCAGGAGCCCGATGTGGGATTCGATCCCGGGTCTCCAGGATCGCGCCCTGGGCCAAAGGCAGGCGCCAAACCGCTGCGCCACCCAGGGATCCCTCTTTTATGTCTTCTTAAGTGCCACATATTCTAGCCTTATTTGTGGAATAGCTATTGTGAAGGATTCTCAGCAGTTTAGAGTCAGAGTTTTCCTAGTGTGCTAACACTTGTTCCATAAAATTAGGTATTTTATTTTTCAGGAGGATTAATGTTTCAAGAAAAGCAGCATACAGCTCTAATTATTCTTTGATGCATAACTTGGGGCATTGGTTTAGGAATCAGCACTATATTTAAACCTGTGGATGGGAATTTTCCCCATTCTTGGTTACGCTGTAGTGCAAAAGAATTCCTGGCTCTTTATGCTGCACAGACATTGTACCATTCTGCTGTTGCTGAATAGAGTTAAGGAACATAACTATAATCACCGTTTTTTATCTGATTGCAGTGTGATTGGGATGTGAAAGTTTCCACATATTCTAAAGCAAAATTTCAAGATACTTTTAAACAAATTTAAATTATAACTTTGTAGCCATAAATTTTACAGGGTAACCTATAGTAGATGTATGTAATGTGCATGCCCCAAAACATTCATGTGATGGTTATGTCCCACATTGGAAAGTAAGAACTAGAGAATTAATGAAATAGCTATTCTAGAAATTTTAAAAGAAGTGTTATTATACTGTATTTCAGAAAGCTGTTTTAGTTCTCTGTAGTGATAAATAGTGACCTGGATAATACTAAAGACTGCAGTAGGTAACTGTGAACGTGGTTACGATTTTCCATATGCTTGTTGTCTTGAAGGACTTGCAAGCATCGCTTTAATCATCATTTGAATTGAATGTTTGCTCTTCAAAACTAGATTTGCAATTGGGTGTCCACTTCAAACCTAGCTAAAATTATCAGTTTTCAAATACTTTTCTCTGGGACTATAAATGAGCCTTTGTAGAGTTATATGGAATAGATCTACTCTGGGGACATGTTCTCACAATTGATGGCTCATTTTAAATGTAGGATAAAGTGGAATTCTCAGTTGAGTTTCTTTTTTTGAGAATTTTTTTTCTTAAGCTCATTTTCTGTCTTTCTTAATCCTATACCATTTCAGGTGCTCCTGACCTCTGATAAAGCCGCAGCAAATTTTTCAGATCGTTCTTTGCTGAAGAATTTGGGACATTGGCTAGGAATGATCACTCTAGCTAAAAATAAACCCATCTTACACACTGTGAGTTCCAGCCAGAGGTTCATGTAAAACTTGAGAATGTTCATATAGCATATTATGTCTAAAAATCTCGACTTTATTTGGTACTGTTTTTTTAATGATTATTGGGTATTTGTAAGAGTTTGGCGCATGTTTTGAATCAAATTGTGGTATGCTTATGATCCTACATTATTTAGCAGGATAAACAGAAGCCAGTAAGGGATGGCTGTCAATCCTTTTTGTAAGGCAGGGTCTTATTATATTGATTCCTAATTTGGGACTTAGTTTGGCAAGATACCTTTCTTTTAGTACTTTGAGGGTTTTTGAAGTATATTCCCAACTTTTAAAATATTTTTCTTATTCTAGGACTTGGATGTAAAATCTTTGCTGCTTGAGGCTTATGTAAAAGGACAGCAGGAGTTGCTCTATGTAGTGCCCTTTGTTGCCAAAGTCTTAGAATCTAGTATTCGTAGTGTGGTGAGTAGATTTTAATACTTTATTGATGGTTAATTTGTAATAATTAGTTTGTTTCAGCAAAAGGGCAAGAGATTATATCCTTAGTTCTTAGGAATGTAGAGCTAGTTTAGTCAGTCTTAGAGAAACTTGGATTTCCAGTGTGAGAGGCTAAGGTAACATTATTTTAAAAATGATTTTAATGGATGGCTTTTGGTTTTGGTGTTTTCGTAAAATATGATATAGATTGGAAAAGTAAGGATTTTGTTATGGGCACATAAGTGCTTAACTATTTTAAATAATACAAATTAAATAATGGTTTTTGGGCCCAGCTTAACATAGTAGCTTTTCTTTAGGTTTTTAGGCCACCCAACCCCTGGACAATGGCAATTATGAATGTATTAGCAGAGCTACATCAGGAACATGACTTAAAGGTAAATTTAAAGGCTGCTTTATCCTTTGGGGCATTCTCTGCCTTCACATTATTAAAATTTACAGGAAAGGTAGAGTATTTGGTTGGGGGAAGGGAAGCACTGTAATATTTGGGTGAGAACAGTATATGTTGTGAATAAAGCTACATTAAAACAATTCTATTCAAATATTTGAATCCTGCAGTTAAACTTGAAGTTTGAAATTGAGGTCCTCTGTAAGAACCTTGCATTAGACATCAATGAGCTAAAACCTGGAAACCTCCTAAAGGATAAAGATCGCCTAAAGAACTTAGATGAGCAACTCTCTGCTCCAAAGAAAGATGTCAAGCAGCCAGAAGAACTCCCTCCCATCACAACCACAAGTAAGTGTGATAATTAGCCCTCTGCTTACCAGAATCTTCTTAAATGGTTCATCTTCATGCATATAGCAAGTTAAAAATATCCACATAATGTGGTGCTGAAATTTCACAAACTTTTTGGTAAGCTATCTAAATTATTAAGGAAAAGTTAGTTTTAGGTAGGCATTGCCTTAGGTATTAGAAGCCATCTAATAATTCATAAAATATTCTTAACTCAGTATCATTAATCATATCCCAAATAAGCCAGATTATCTTTTACATTGTTTGAATTCTCAGAACTGCATGGCATGATGGTCTATGTTATTCCTCAAATCTTTCGCTGGCCAGACTACCAACTAGACCTGCATGGGGAGTGAATTATTATACTTGGATCATGTAAATTGGAAGTATGGGGGCTATGGGAGTGTTGAATGAAAGATTCAGATGTGAGTTAGAATAAACTAGCTTTTCATTCACTCTTAGTCTGCAGTATCTAAGAATCCCCAAATGAAACCAGGCAACAGCCTAGACTGGAACAAAGAATAATCCAGAAAGGCTTGGGGTTACTAATGCAGCATGTCCTCACAGTTGATTTACTTGCTCTGGGGCATTGTCACTGACATAGTTTTACATACTTTGTTCAAATCTTTAAAACAACAGAAGTTTTCTTATTGTAATTTAGGGTGGAAAAAATCTGACCTGTATTCCGGTCCCCCAGGAGACTAAATCTAGTTAATCTAATGAAAAATCACTTGATAGCCTGCTAATGTTACAGTAAAGAAGTTTGCTTTTTATTAGCTCTTATTTTATCTTTTAATATTTAGCAACTTCTACAACACCAGCTACCAGTACCACTTGTACAGCTACGGTTCCACCACAACCTCAGTACAGCTACCACGACATCAATGTCTATTCCCTTGCAGGCCTGGCACCACACATTACTCTAAATCCAACAGTAAGTAAACACTGCTCCATTCCCCAGTTCCTACTTTGTGACAGGATAAATTGGCCACCTTCCTTTCCTTTTCCCCCCTTCTTCTGGATTTTTAGCAAAGAGCAGGAATTGGGAACTGCTATGTAGTACAGCTTGGATTTTTTTCTACTCTAAGAGTAGAGTATCATCTATATTGTTCCTCATATCTAAACCCCGAGATTAATCAGCTGGCAATATAATCACAGTCACCAGGAATTCCTTCCAGAAATCAAAAGATCCTTGGGGTGTTCATAGCTTTTTTGCTCTTTATTTTCGTTGTCATGCCATCTTTAGCGTTACATTATGCCATTTCTTTTGGCAGACGGTTTGAAAGGAGTTGTTTCCTACAACACTAAGAGATTTCCTTAAATCTCTACGCAAGGGTCTAGAAGTGGAACTTAATACTTTAAGTTAAATTTCTGTAGCTTGGTTATAGGAGGAAGTTTAGTTTGAAGTCCTGTAAGATTCCTGTTTTTAAAAGGTAGTATTTTATTCTGGTATGTTCAGAGTGATGATTATCTTCTGGTTTTTATTCTCCTTTACACTTGTTCAAAATCAGATACTTGGAGTATGATCATGGTCTTTTTTATTTTTTACTTTTTTTTTTTTAAGATTTTATTTATTCATTCATGAGAGACAGAGAAAGAGAGGCAGGCAGAGGGAGGAGAAGCAGGCTCCATACAAGGATCCCCATGTGGGATTTGATCCCAAAATCCAGGATCACACTCGGAGCCAAAGGCAAACACACTCAACCGCTCAAAGGCAAACGCTCAACCACTGAGCCACCCAGGGGTCCCTGGGTTTTGTTTTTTAGAAACTGAAAATATTCACAAATATAGGAGTAAATAACTAATACATCGAGCCCCCCTCCCCCCCCCTTTAAGGACATAAAGAGATCATTTTAACTTGCCCCCTTCACTATGTTTTGGGGAGAGGGGGCAGACTTGGATCTAGAAAACGTGATTTCCCTTTATGACACTGTCAGTAATCTGAATACTTTTTTGTATCCAGCATGAATATTTTAAAAATTTCCTACAAAGCCATTAAGTTAAATAGATGAAGTATTAGGGCATAGTTTGTTTCCCTGAGCTAAAAGATTGTAAATAGTCTTTAAAGTAAAGCAAAATGGCTTTCAACGTATGGTAGTATAAATGTTTGCTATTCTGAATTATTTATAGTAATGTTCTTTTAAGAAATCCTTTTCACTGTAAACTTGATTCTTTTTGCAATTCTCCAAGCAACTAAAAAAATTACTTTAAGAGAGTATTTAAGCTACGGACACGTGGATGGCTCAGTGGTTGAGCATCTGCCTTTGGCTCTAGGTGTGATTCACAGCAGGATTCAGGGATTGAGGAGCCTGCTTCTCCTTCTGCCTGTGTCTCTGCCTCCCTCTCTGTGTCTCTCGTAAATAAATAAATAAAACCTTAAAAAAATACTTAAGCTACATGGGGTGCCGGGGTGACTCAGTCTGTTAAGCATCTGCCTTTGGCTCATGTCATGATCTTGGGGTCCTGGGATTGAGCCCCGTGTTGGCCTCTCTCCTCTCAGGGAGTTTCCTTTTCCCTCTCCCTCTGCCCCAGCTCATGTGCTTGGATAGGTCCTCTCTCTCTCTCTCTCTCTCTCTCTCTCTCTTTCTCTCTCAAATAAATCTTAAGGAAAAAAAAAAAGTACTTAAGCCACAGATTTTAACTAAGCAAGCATGTAATGTACCCTATAATAAAAAATTTGCCCATCTGTCTTAGACTTTTTTTTAAAAAATTGAAGATAGATCTATTATCACATATCACAAGGTATACTGAATACTACTCTCTTTGTAGCTTAGCTTCTATTTCCTGTGTTTTTCACTGCTTAATTTAAGGCAGACACTGGTAGTTAATGATTAATTTGTAGTAACTTCCAAAAATCATGGGTGTGATTACCGATGAAAGTTGGGTTGTCTTAAACAACTGTTGACTTAACTTGTTTTTTCCCCACCTAGATTCCCTTGTTTCAGGCCCATCCACAGTTGAAGCAGTGTGTGCGCCA